AATTTTGGCTTTCCAACCTGAGTTCCCTGTCGTGCTCGCAGCTTCCACAGTGCTTGGCAATTTGCGGCGGGCTCGGAAAGGAGCTGCTGCCGGCCCCACCGGTTACACAGCGGAGTTCTGCCGTCTGGCGTTGGATGGCAAGGCGACTAGTTCCCCGTTTGTTCGTGCTGCCTCCGCCCTGGCTCATCCAAAAATTCCCACCGTGCATCGCAAGCGGCCTTTGGCCTGGGGCGCATGGTTGCCCTTGCGCGTCCGGGGGATCGTGGTTGGTGACTTCTTGCAGCGTTTGGTGGCTCGCTCCTTGGCTCAAAGCTTTGCAACACGGTTCCTGGACGCGTGCCAGCCTTTTCAGTTTGCCTTGTCCGCTCGTGCCGGCACGGAGGCCGTGGCCCACGCCCTCCTTGTTGCCACTGAGTCCCGTCCTGACGCAACCATCCTGTCCGTCGATGGCGTCGGCGCATTTGATACCATCAGCCGACAAGCCATGCTGCAGGCCTTGTCCAGCACTCCCGGCGCCAATGTGTGCTTGCCTTTCGTGCGCCAGTTCTACTCTGACCCCTCCCGGTTTGTGTGGCATGACGCTGACGGCCAGGCCCACCTGATTTCGCAGGCGGAAGGCGGCGAACAGGGCGACCCGTTGATGCCTGCTTTGTTCGCCTTGGGTCAGCATGCGGCCCTCGCCGAGGTGCGCCGCCAACTGCGTCCGGACGAGTGTCTGTTGGCCACGTCGCCGGAACGTACCCGGGTTGTTTTTGACTTGCTGTCTCTGCACCTGCACCGGCACGCACATATACAGCTCCACCGCGGTAAGACGCGAGTTTGGAACGCGTCCGGGCTGGAGCCACCTGGCATCCGAGAACTAGGATCGGTCACAGATCCAGTGGGTCGGAGACCGGGGCTTGCCTTCGGACCAGCAGGGTTTGCTGGCTCTCGGATCAGCTCCTCCAAGGCATCCGCACGCTCCCTGACTTACAGTCCGCTTGGTTGCTGCTTTTGTTCTGTGCCTCTCCCCGGTGCACCCATGTTCTGCGTGCGTTGCCGCCCGTGGCCTTGCTGGCTTTTGCCGAGTCCCATGATGCGGCTATCGCCGCATGTGTTGTGTTGTGGATCTGTTAGGGACTGGCCCCCTTCCAGACTCTGCCCTCCAGATTGCCCAGCTTCCTTTCCAGCAAGGCGGTCTCAACCTGCGGTCTGGCGTTGCGCGAGCCCCGGCTGCGTATTGGGCGTCGTGGGCAGACACGCTGCCCGTGCTGCATCGCCAGCTCCCAACTTTGGCCGGGGAGATCCTAGCGAGGCTTCGTGCCCAGGAGCCTGCTGGACCTGCACTCTCGGGCGTTCTCCAGGCCCAGGACGCGCTGACCACGGCACCTTCTTGAGAGGACTTGCTTGACAATCCAGCCCCGCCGTCATCTTTGGACTTGTCCGGGCACCTGCCCGAGCCCAGCGCCCGGGGCTGGCAAGCGCCCGCTGCCACTGCCACTGCTGAACAACTCCAAGCTGCCCTACTGCCACAGCTTGACGCTGCGTCCCAAGCGCTTTTGCCCAGACTGGGCCTTTCAGCAGCCGCCCTTCCCTTCTGACCACTTGTGTGCCCTTCTGTTGCGGCGTTTGCGCCTCCCCTTCGCCTTGTCCGCGCGCAGCTGCCGGTGCCGTCGCCCTCTCGACCCTCTTGGCGACCATCGAGCAGCCTGCGCTAGGTCTGGTGCTTTGCGGAGTCGGGGATGCCCACTCGAGCGAGCGGCAGCTCGTGTTTGCAGGGAGGCGGGGGCCCGTGTGACTTGTAACACACTGGTGCGCGATCTGAATGTGGTGGTCGCTCGTTTTGACGACCGCCGCATCGAAGTCATTGCCAACGGCTTGCCCTTGTGGAATGGAGCGCAGCTTGCGGTCGACACGACCATTGTGCCGCCGCTCACGGCCAACGGTGTGGCTCGCTCCCTGCGAGGCCCTGCTCGCCCCATCGCTTTGCAGGAGGCACGGCGCCGAAAAGAGGCCACTTACCCCGAGCTTGTTGGCAACGGAGGCCGCAGAGTTTGTGCGCTTGCTGGCCCACGCCAAAGCTCGTGCTGCCCCAGCCGTGCTGCGGCCGGCTTTGCGCGGCGCGTACGTGCACCGCTGGTCTGGCTTGCTCGCTGCGGCTGCATCCCTAGCTTTTGCTGAGAGCTTGACTTGCCTGCCGTCGCGTGGCCTTAGCAACCTCGACGGGCCCGGCCCCGACATCAGCGACTTGTTGGCGGGCGTCCGGGATGCCCCGGATGTGTCCCGCCTGCCTGCCTGGTAGGGCCTTGCGTGTGAGGGTGCTGGCCTCCATAAAAACAGCGCTTGCAGGTGAGGAAGCTGGCCTCCGAAAAAACAGCCTCCGCAGCCCTTGTGCCCAGGGCCCCCCCCTAAAAATGGACAGAGCCGCTGCGAAAAAGGCGAAAGAAAGAGATGGCGCCGATGTCCCCTAAGAGATACGGGCGATCTGGAGATTCTAGTCCGTGAAGAAAGGGCCTGTGAAAGAGGTTAGGCGGATCTACTCCCGCGCCGGGATTCAAGGACACTGTGGGCGTGACCCCAGCGGACTTTCTTGGAAACCTCAAGAGTTTCCTGGACGATGAGTGCAGACCGTTCCTCACTCATCTCATTGGTGTCGGGTCGTTCTTCCTCGGCGACGAAGCGCTCAGCATCTTCCTTTGCTTCGAGCTTGCTTCACGTCACATTGGTGGTGTCGGATGGTTTGGGCTCGTCGTCATCCACGTGGATCACGAACTGGCCGGTGGAAATGAACTCACATTCGCATGCCGTGCAGTAGCAAAATCCCCTTGGAATACTGATGGCGCATGCTGGGCATACTCTGTTGGACATACTTGATGGATCGTCCTCGCGGTAGACAATGAATCTGCTGAGCAAATCCCTGATTTCTACCAAGGCCTCGGGCACTCCAATGTTGATGCACGCCGCGACGACCACCTTCTTCAGGATGTCGGCGTCCGCAGAGTCGGCAGGTCATACCTTCCATCGGACATCGGGACGGACATCGGCGATGAAGATGCGGGAGTTTGTCCGGACAACCCAGAGGAGGATGCGGACGCAATTCACCTCTTGCAAGTCAAGGCCATCTGCGTTGACGAGTCCGGCGAGGCATGATACCTCTCTGGCTTCATTGGCATCGTGCTTTTCAAGTGTGGAAGGTATTCGCCAACAACGAGGCAGATGTGGTCAAGGAGGCTGGCAAAGGTGGCGGACTCTATTGTCCCTACTGATTTCAACGAAGTTGATGAACAGAACATTCCAATCCCGCCCACCTATGACGAAGTCACTGCCGCTCCTAAGTTTAGAAATGTGTGATTCAAAGCGCGAGCCACAGGGACGAAGAGATGTTCTTGTGGTTCCTGAAGCTGAAAGGGCTATACATCATGTATCGGATTTGGACCGCCTGCAATATATTTGGTATCAAAGCAGAGCAGTTCAGAGGTGTCAGCCACCAGAAGGACCTTGCCTTCGTCACGACACGATATTCCGATGCATCGCAATTGCGACTACATGACCTTCTACCGAACAGATGTACTCATTGGACGCAAGTTCTTGAAACTTGAACTTGGTTGCGTTCAAAGCGTCAAAGCGGTCGACACTCCTCTTATCCAATGGTGCTACACTCGCAATATACATCTGCCCTCGCGCTACATCGAGAAGATCAATCGGACCGAGGAGACACCACATTCTCTGTTAGAAAGGTTCCGATGGAGGGCGAGTAGAAAGGCCATCGCAGAATCATCACACTGGTGATCAAGCATTTTCTTTACGATTTCTTCTACGTGGGGGATCAACTGGAATTTGTATTTTTACACAATGGGATCGTGATACTCATCGTGCATGGTATCATGGCCAGCCCTTGTGGTACTCGTCGTGCACGGTACCCTGGGCAAACCCAAAAGTATGTGCATGAGACTTGCATTTATCACCACAGAATGTTTCTTGTTTCCGTACAGTATCGTCATCGGCGAGTACTATTCTGGAGATGCCAGGTATCTGGTGGTCAGTGATTATTCGATGCTACAATTGTTTGTTACTGGTTACAATTTGGTGATGGACTATGCTAGTCATGGATATTCGTTTTCTGCAGACTGCTCTGGATCTGTACAATTGCCTCATAGATAGCTTGCTGCATGTGCACCATTGCACATGAGGTCCGGCACGTGACCTGTAGCATTCTCATTTCCTGTTAAGTTGACAGAACCTGGTCAAACTCGTGCAGAGGCGTTTCACTGAATTGAAAAAGGGAAGCCGTGCGTCCATGCGTGTCGGCGTGCGTTTGTGATTTGTTCCCGACCCAGGGATGAACCCAAGCCCGGGATGGGGGATGCTAAGAATCTCGGAGCCGCAGGCTAAAACATCCTAGGGGCAGGTTCTGAGGGTCACCCTGTTATTTACCCCTTGTTTGAGGTGCTTCAAACCTTTGGGGAAATGGTGTTTTGTGTGCAGCCGACATGTACATGCGAATGGATTTGGCTCAAGACCTTGATAATAGATCCGAGGCAAACATCCAATATACAGCTGTGAAGCAAAGCAAAAGGTCCGTATTCGGCCGTCGCATCGAGTCGTGAGACAGCGCAGATCATTTACCTTACAACCCCTTTTACAACGACCGCTACTATACGACTCCATTGTCGAGGGTATTGGTCACCCCACGAGAGTCGAACCCCAACTGCCTTGTCTTTGACTACGTGGTTGACTCGCCTCCTGGCACTAAACGCGGGTTAATCTGTGCGAACACAAAACATGTGTTTGCGCAATGGGCGCAGCATGCCCAATTAAATGTCCCTCCCGCGGCACGAGGCCGCTGCGTCAGGGCGGCGCTGGGTCAAAAAAAGGCAAGGTGTCGGCCTGCAGCGCGCAGGAAAGCGCGGGAAAAACGAGGCGGCTTTTTCCAAGTTGCCTGCTTGCAATTTTGGACACATGCAAGCTCTCATCATGCAAGTTCCGCATGTCTACGTTCTGCCGATTTCGCTGCGTTTCGGAGTCACGTGGTGAATGGGTAGGCCGGGCTGGTCGGGGCGCCATGGAGTCCTCAGGCGCGTTAAAAATGGGCATCCTCATACCCAGCGGCCTGGCAGCATGGAACAAGAGCGATGATCGCCGATCCGCCAAAGGGCATCAAGTGGCGACGGATGCGGTAATTACTAGTGGTGTCGGTGGCTAAACTGAGGCAATGAAGCGGGCAGACTTATTGGCAAAGCTGGTCCTGCCCTTTACACCTGTGTCATGCGCATGGTGTTTTGTGAAAGAGTGCCGTGCTTTCCAAGGCGCAGGTCTGAAACAAGTCCGAGAAATGTCCCAGTGCAATGTCAAGCTTAGTCAGACCCTGAGTGAGCTTTTTTGCATGAAAGGAATGAGCCGAGCAAAAAGGGAGTTGCGCATGCCTTCAGCAAGCCAACTCACACGTGACAAGGGCTGCGCAGCAAGAAATTGGGTTTGTTGCTTCTCGCTTGAGCTTGAGACGCTTCCTGTTTCTCCTAGAGCTGCTGCAGGTCAAGAGCCAGACTCTCAAGGAAACAGAAGATGTGACATCGGCGGCCCGACCGTTGAGCACATTGCCAGCGCAGTCCATGCGTCCCGAACTTGGAGACCCACCTTTGTTGGTGGAACGTTCAGTTTCTGGGGTGTTGCTTTGCTTCGCTTGCCACCTTGTGAACCATGTTCAGGCCCAGGGCCAAAGGGCCTTCTCTTGCTACATGCTCACATACAAATGCGCCGATACATGCACATACGCATACACAGACACACACACACATCACATATACATTTGTCACATGCATCTGGAGTTTCATTTTCGTGTGAGAAGCTTGAGGCCTTTTCGATATACAGATGCATATGCAGTGCGTACGCACACGCAGTTGCGTTTGCAAATCTGAAGAGTTGTCCAACCACATGCACGTTTGAACATATGGCTACACATGGTCCGCTCTGGCTCACGTCTCTCATCGTGTGTGGACTCAGGTCTGTGCATGGTATAAAGGATCGCTGAGCGCTCCGAGAAAAGCACAAAACAAACACATTGAGCTGACGTTGCGTTCGCGGCTTGCTGGACAAGCAACCTTGTTTTCAGTTGTTGCCAAGGACATCATCGCGCCTGTTCGCAGATGGTTCTCCGCCAGTGTTGGCCTCAGGTCTTCCAAGCCAAAGAACTCTACTGAGCCAAACGTTTGGCCAGTGCACGTTTGATGCTTCGCATTCCGGGTGGCTTAGGGGGGCTGCAAGCTGTATGTGGCTTTTCCTAACGAGTACATTGGTGGCATCATCGGCAAGGGCCGGGCGCCAAGGAAATGATTCGCACAGGATGCTTTCCAACAAGCATGATTTCCTGAGTCGGGTGCGTTGCTTGCACTGAGGTGGTGAAAACCTGAAACGGATTCGGGATGCCACTGGCACCAGCCTAACCTTGATGAAGGACGCGGTCAGTGACCAGGCGCAGTTTGCAATTTTTGCTTGATCGCGCCCGTGCCTTTTTTTGAATAGAACAGAACAGGGATCACCATCATGATACTAGCTGTTTACATCCACCATGCCCATTTGGCTCAAGTCACATGCGATTGTTCATGTACAGTTGCATCAGGAACAAAATATCGAGCTTGCGGGCTGGGCACCGGGTTGAGGATTTTCAAGCCTTCGTGCCCACCCCGAGAGGCAATACACCAGTGTTGTCGGGGAAGCAAATATACCCCTCGGTTTCTCAGGTTATCAGCCGTAGGCTTGTCCCACGTGCTGTGAGACAAGATTGATTCGAAGCGAGAGGTCTTGAACCCCTTTTCATACTGAATGGATCTATTTATTTACTCACACTGCCAAGTCCCCGGAATTTCATCTCAGGGAATGCCGGAATCAGCCGGCCACGGGAGTGGAGACATTTTCGTTGTGTGGACCTGCGGCTGATGCCGGCGTTGATCAGACCACGGGAGCAAGAGCTTCCTCCCGTTTGAGAGAGATCCGTCACCTCCGGATGAAGACGATGGGCGGACTCAAATCCGTAAATCTCGTAAGGGAGAAGAGTCATCCTCCCCAAGGGATTCCCCAAGTGACCCCAGAAATGCGGACCAACAACTCGATGATGAATTGTGGAAAGCCCAAAGAAAGGCGGAAGCACAAATGAGCGAGGCTGCAGAACAGCCCGATGATGGGATGTGCATTGTTGCAGTCAGCCATAGGCAGACTGGAATCCGATGAGGCGGGAAGCCTACCATGGCTTGAAACCTAAGTTGCTCACGTTCATGGTAGAATGAGAGACGAATACAACTTGGCGATGGATCAGACTGAGTGAAGTTGAAACAGTAGCTCATGACTTTAACAGTGAGAATCGGACGATGCGAGCAGAGAACAGCGAGATGTCAGCTTCTTTGCGGAGAGCAACCGAGACCACGAACAAACATCAGTCCATGATAAGCTCTGGAACCGAGTTACGGGCCAGACTGAATCATGAGAATGAACGTTTTCGAGAAACAGTGAGACAAGAAGAGTCGACCATGCAAGCCAGGTTGAGAGGTGCGGAGATGTACCATTACAACATTGTTACTAACAAAGACGGAGAGGCCCAAACCTTGAGGGATCAGATACAAACCGAGGGGAGAATAGCTCCGATCTAGCTTCAGATCACCAGTGAGGCGAGGACACAACTTAGTGATGTGGAAAACCGAGCCAAGCTGGAAGTTGATCGTTTGAGGGATCATTTGAACCGAGAGGAGACGACAGCTTCCAGTCTGCAGAGTGCATTGTCTGAAGCCAGGAAGGAGAGTCACGGCGTGCCGGTCTCCGACAGTTCAATGACAGTCTCAATGAAAAGAGCATGGGAAACCTGAAGCCTGAGTATCTGACCGCCAGAGACGGCGAGAGAAAAGCGGAGGACGACAGGGAAGCTGAGTCCATCGCGCAGACCCGGGACGAAGAGTCAGAACAGTTGCGGAGCGCTTGCGATAGACTCAAAAACCTCAGGAATGAGGTACAGGAGGAGCTTGACAAATTGACCGATCGATATGATGAGCTAGTCAATGACCAATCCGTTGCATTGCCAAAGTTCGGTGATGTGACCACGCCCAATGAAGGGACTGCTCCAAGGTCAAGGAGTGGCTCCACTAAGGGGGTCCACTTCCCCTGTCAAGCCAACCACCTCGTCTGATCCTGTCACCAAGACCAAGGTCTTGGGTTGGAGGCAGAGACGATCAGTGTCCCTTCATAAATTGACTGTTGTCGAACGTTCTAGCAGGTTGTTGTGATCCAGACAGCGAAGCTTGGTCGGCGTGGCTTCCTGAGGCATTTAGCCCGAAAGCCACGATCGATGCACTTTCCGATAGCGGCGGTTCAAGATTCTCCGGTGTGACAAAGCATGGACAAAATGATCAAGTCCGCTGGAGATCAGGCGATTGAGGTAGTTGAGGTCCAGCAGCTAATTGCTAAGCTGATAAGGGTCGGAAAGGGCACTAAAGGAAGACAAATGATACTCATGGTTCTGGAGAGCTTTCGTTCGTACGACAGACTCGATCTTGTTTTCGGAGTGGAACACTTGTACAAGTTGACCTACCCTGGCGACAAGAAGATGGGAGATTTCAAGCAGCGGTGGCTTGAGATCATTGCTGGAATCAAAGTCGAGTCCGTTCCGCAAGAGAAAGCTGAAAGGGAACCCAAAAGAGTTGGAATTGGACCTGAATCTGTATGAACACATGGAACGCCGCGAAAACGCATACTTATTTGCTCAACATGATTGATCGGTGAAAGCAACCAGGGAAGGAGTTGGTCAAACAAGAAAAATCACTCAAGGATCACAACTTGAGTAATACGCTTCCCTTTTGCAAAGAAAAGGCAAAACCCAAGCCTAAGGCGAAGTCGGAGGCGAAGGATGCCGGCACCCGTTCTTCCTGACAAGCAGAAGCCAAAGGAGAAGGCTAAGCCGTGGGTGACAAGAATGTTCCATGTAAGTTTCATTTCTTTCGTGGCAAATGCACGAAGGGCTCCGACTGCAAATGCAGCCATCAGAAGAGTTACACTTCGGAATTACGAAGAGGGTCCCAAGCGTAGCAACGCCCCAGCTGAAAAACGTCCCACGAACGATAAAATTTATTCATTCTACAAAAAAGAACGTACAAGAAAAAGAAGGACTGCAAGTTCAAGCATGCTAAGAGCTCGGCACCGACTAAGAAGGATTCTGACACCGAGAGTGAAACGGGATCCGAGAAAAAGAAGAAGAAGGCAAAGGCTGCCCCGGTGATATCTGCGGGTTCCTTGTGGGAAGATTCTGAGAGTGAAGCGGAGTCAACCGGGGTCGAAGACAAAGAGCGTGGTCTTTCGGGATTGGGTTGAGTACGACGATGGTGATATTAGCAGCCAAGAACTCCCTGAGAAGCATCGCAGAGAAGATCATGGAAAGAAGGGGTAAGCACTGAGCATGCAAAGGAAGACCAAGACCAGGAAAGCATTATGGCAGCCGCAAACCATGTCCGTGATTTGCAGACTTCCACCAAGGTACCCATTTCCACCTGTTCTCATAGGGGAGAACTATGAGAAGATTGACTATGTGGATAGAGCAAGGAAGAAAGCGGATGGGATCTATACGGGAAACCCAGCATGCAATCGTCATGGTGGTGAAGTCGGGTACCCAGAGTACGAAATGGCTCATGGACACCGGATGCGGCCACGACTTGATCGGGTCAAAGGTGGCGGATCAGTCCTAAAATGAGTTCAGAGACTATGACCTTTATGACGGCGAACGGTATTCCCGAAACTGATCAAAAGGTTGACCTTGTCATAGATGAAATGAAGGACACCATTTCGCATTTCGTGATGGAAGAATCTCCATCAATCTTATCCATTGGAAGGAGTGCTGACAGTGGTTATGGTTTTCTGCCTGGTGAAGAACCTGTCATGTTCGATGATCGCAAGTCTGTTCGTGTCAAGGGTCACATTCCTTACCTGGGAACGAATGACGAAACGGAGCAGGGTCCTTTGGGGAAACTCACTGAGTCAGCTATCGGAGTCTTGGATTATCCCGAAGATCGTGCGGTGAATATGTCTGGAGGATTGACTTCATCGCCAGATGAAACACCAATCGCGGTACCGGCAGAAGAGCCCGGTGAGGTAGGGGAGGGTGATGCCGATGAAAGGGATGAAGGTGGAGGTAGCGATGAGGATGAAGTTGAGGTCGATGTTGAAGCTGGAAGGGGCGTGAAAAGGAAGAAAGGAACTCTCAAACATGAAGCGGGTACGTTGGAACACATGGTGACCCAGAGGTTCGCCAACCCTTATTGTGATGCTTGTGTCCGAGCAAAGATGCGGCATTTCAATACCAAGAAGGGTGCGTTCAAACAACAACTCAAGAAGTGGGGGGACCGTGTGACGTTCGATTTCTTGACGCCAGAAAGTCAGAAAGGGCCGGACAAGTGGGAATGGAGACAGATACCAATGTTTTCGTTGTGCGTGACGTATATTCTGGGGTGAGGATGGCGTATCCCACTTCGGACGGTTCCGCGGATGAGGTTGTCAGATGTTTGAAGGAGGTCATGGGAAGACGGAAGATTCGGGTTGCTTGCGGTGATCACGCATCTCAGTTCGTAAGTGCATGTCAGCAACTGGGGATATGTTTGATGAGTCACTGCCCGGTTGGCCCATGAACAACTCCTTGGCGGAAAGAAACAATCTCTATGCGATGGATCAGGTCAGGGCTTGTTTGTTGGCTGCTGTGCTGGAGTACCTCCGTGTTACTGGTCCTTTGCTCTGACGTCGACATGTCACTTTCTGAACGCCGAAATTGTCGACGGAGAAAGCGCCTAGTACAATATGCGTGGGGATCATGTCGGTGGCAAAAGCCGCAAGAGATGACACGCACAAGTTTGCACCCAGGTCAATGAGGGGTGTGTTCGCGGGTAACCAAACTCGAGAGTGGAATGAGGTGGAGTGGTAAGATGCTCGTATGGGAATTGGAAAAACACCTCGATGCCGATTTGACCATGGGGTGTAAGTCCGTGCCAATCTTTTGGCGCAGGCCCCATATAGTGGACAAGGTCGTGATGGTTTGTCCACTCGCCTTTCCATTAAAGAACACCTTCGAGAAGGTGAATGGGGAGCTTGAGGCTCTTATCGAGGGTGCTGGGAAAAGGAGACCTGAGAGGCATCGCAGGATGTATCAGGAGGCTACGAAGATGATACAACGGCGGTGACGATGACCCTGGAGGGGATGACTCGCATGGTGGCGGAGGGAGAGCCAAGGACAGGTTGAAGGAGATTACGGAAAGGTTTGGTGTTGATGATGCGGTTGGAGATGTTGATGCAGCCGTCGAAGGTGATGTGAAGGGGACCAAACCGATAAAGGAGCGGTGCACAAAGAAAGGGTGATATCCCAATGCCTGCTGGTCTCAAACCGGGCTACCACAGGTGGTGTCGGAGGGACGAAAAAGCAAGTGTGTTCCAAGCCACGAACGCCAAAACAGGGCCCAAATTGTAGGCGGTACGACTGTCAACAGCGAAACGGCTGAAGTGCTTGATTGTATCAGCATAGATCCGAAGAAGGGGGAAGACTTCTATAGGACTGTGATCAAGGATGGTACTGAGGTCTCCATTGACACGTACATTTGGTACAGGCTCGCTGATGCGGCTGGCAATGGGATCATATATGCTGACGAAAATCTGAGGAAGGTGAAAGTATATGAAGTTGGGATAGATGGGCGAAGAGCCTGCAAGACTTCCAAACCTTCTGATGTGTTTCCGGAAGAGTGGAAGAAGATGTCTCATGTCGATAGAACTATTGCCTCATGTGGGATGGCGATTTCATTTCTCATGGCGTCATTCACTTTTCTGTCCCGGAAAGTACTCGACAGAATGTTTCAGCCCAAGAGGCAGCCGAGGAAGTGGACGTCGACGAGCTAAAGAGAATCGCTAAAGAGGCCACAGAGAAGGAAGGGGCGAGAAAGAAGGTGAAGAACAGCGCAGGCAGCCCAAGCTGCGTGGTGAGTTTGGCAAGGGTAGCAAAAGTTTCCAGGATGACAATGACGAGAAGACATCGCAACCCAACGAGGGGGGTGAGCCCGGAGCTGGATCATTCAGGAACAGCGTTTTCGAGGTCAAGCGCAGGGCCATGATGCGTGGACCCGCTTGTTGAGTCGGCCACATGGCTATCATTCGATTGCTTGGGAAGTTTATCAACCACCTCAATCGATACTGGGGGCCAAAGAATGAGACGGGTACCAAGGAGGTGGTGAAGCAGTGGCGGGAAGATTGGGCAGAAGGGAGCAGAAGTACATTTTGTACACATGTTCCAACATTCTTGCCAGTCGATGAATTTTTCCGACCTGTGTCAATCACACTCGAACAATGGAAGGAGCATTGGGTTGAGTCCCGAGATGGTTTCAAGAGTGAGGACCTCCCGCACGTACCACGACACGACGGGTTCTCAACATGGCCATCGGAACAAGTTCCAACGTGGGCACCTATTCCTTCTTCCAACCCAACATTGAAAGAGTCAAGGGTGGAAAGCTTATCCCGTTCGACTGGATGTGCACGGCGATGGGAGACAAAGCAACCATCCAAGATTTATTATTGATGAACTGCCACGGGATGCGTTTCAGTCCTGTGCTTCGTACACAATGGGAGAATTACAGCAGGATGAAATCCATTCAGACCCGAATTCCCTTGGCAGATGGGGAGGCCACAATCCCGCCGAATTTTGGCAAGAAACCAAAGAAGAAGAAGAACAAGTTAACGGAGGCCGAGACCCCAAACCCCCAGAGAGGGGAAGGTTCCCAATACCCGAGGGTATTTTGACCCTCGTCGGCAGAGCGAAGGAAGACGGGTGAGCGGTCGGGGCAACCCCGATCCAACAGCCCGGCCCTGCGCAAAGGCGAGCCATCGTCCGGATCCTGCAGCAAAGGGAAGGGGAAGGGCGACAAGGGCAAGCAAACGGGGAAAGGGAAAAGGACAACCGTGCCCCGCACCGACGTACGTGGCACCCATTGGTCGGGTTACTACGGAGGGTGGGACGACCGCTGGTGAATGGTTTATCAGCCTATCTCATTGGGTGCAAAAGCGCAGCGGAACCGCTTGACGGACCGGGCGGCAAAATGGACATTTTGAGCATTTCGCTATGGATGACCTGCCATGGGGGGACCCCTGTTATTCTCATCTTTCACATAGGGCACGCTGCTGGCGGGTCTCTGAAAGCGCAAGGTTAAGGAGTGGGCCGGCCGGGCCTCTCGGGGCTGAGTGGGCGAAGGGCTGATGCGCCAGTCTTCCACACCGACAACCGGTTTAGGCAGTGCCAATGTGTTTGTTCTGGGATACGAGGGCCGCCAATGGCATTATGTCTTTGATTATCATGCGATATCGCCCAACTTTTCGGGCATTTTCATTGCAAATGCCCTTGCTGAGAATTGGGCACGTTTACGGGGAAAGCGCTACCGTTTAACGGAGCGTGAGTACTCAGTGCTGCTTTTCTGGCTAGGTCATGTCCATAGGTTGAGCCGGCCAGTCGGTGGATTGTGAGTTGATGGTCCCATTTGGCTCAAGTCACATGCGATTGTTCACAACGACAAGTGTGTACAGTTGCATCAGGAACAAGAGCTTGCGGGCGGCACCGGGTTGAGGCTATTCAAGCCTTCGTGCCCACCCCGAGAACCAAATATACCCCTCGGTTTCTCACTTTTTGTCTCGTGTTCCCTTCATAGATGGCACACCCCCGTGATTTGTGATCCACTTCATGCAAGGGCGACCGGGTGGGTCAGCTCGTCGGAGTCCAGAACCAACTGGGAGCTGCCATTCGCATTGCGCTGACCAATGCCCGGGCGCCAAGTACAAAACTGACAGTTTAGTGCAACACCCATCCAGCATGCGAAGTGACAGTTGCAAATCCATCTTTGGGGCCGCAACGTCTATCCCGGACGATTCAGCCAGAGTAGCGCTAACCAAAAGTGGCCCATATTGAGCGGTGCGTGGCTGTTTGGCCTGCAAACCTCAACCGTTGGTTCGATGAGGTCTTGTCACCGGGCGCTGCCACTGTAGCCGCAGCCACGCCCACATCAGATAGGCAGGTGCTGCTCGGATGCTAGCTTCGCTGTTGGATGAGGTATGGCATGTGTGTAGAGAGGAAATATTTGTAGATCAGCACCTTATACTTTAGCACGAGAGAAATGCGCACACACACACACACACACGCAGATAGAAACGGGTAATGTCGATCCCGGATGAATCAAATGTTCTATCAATGGGGCGTTTCCCTCCAAATGATGAACCCCCGCGCAAAGGGGACAGCCCCTATTACTGAACCAGAATCTCAATATTTCGTGTATGGGTTTTCTTCTTTAAACGGCGCCTTTTGCGGTATGCTTCACACATGGAACACCACCAATTTTTAGGGTCCCCGGTTTTGAGACAAACCCGCGCATGCACACATGTGAATATACATGTGTATGCATAAACTGCATGTGTATGTGTCTGTGATGAAACTTTCCAGCAGCCTAGGTTCATTTAAGAGGGACATGGGGGAACTCCAAATTCTTACAAAGAGCAGGGGGAAGGCGACTCACTACTATTTGTTTGCGGCCCTTTGCAGAAACAATCAATTCTTAATCGTACTTCCTATGCTTGTGCATTTGCATCCGCGTATGAGTGTATGACGCCAGTGCGAACAGCTGGTTTTCATTGCACTTTACGCTCTCCTCATTCCTTGCAGGGGTGGGCTTCAAATGGCACCCAGCGGGTGACCCTCTCCTGTTCAGCAACAGCCGGGGATGAAATCTTCAGATAAATCTGGTTATTCAGTTTACTCCCAGATGACGAGAATGGTTTTGAATTCTGAGCGGGGCATTTGGTTTTTGCTATTAAGATCCGTGGGTGCTTGGCGCAAGCTTGGCCATTTGCGGAGGATGGATGGCTACTACAACACGCCCCCGCCACCCGCGCAACAGTGGCCTGGCCGCAAACCAGGCGCACGATTTCAATGCATGATTTCTGTGACCCGCCGGGTGCTTCCCCTGCTACTGTAGAGTGCCCTACTCAAAGAGAGCAAGCACTGCTTGTGGCATTTTCCGATCCCAAGGTCGCGACAGATGGGCGGTGGCAATTGGGGCATGGGTGGCGGCATGGGCGGCGGCATGGGCGGCGGCATGGGTGGAAGCTGGGGTGGCGCGGGTGGTGGAATGGGCGGCATGGGCATGGGTGGCATGGGAATGCTGACGCAGGCCCGGCAGCCCAGCCTTGATAGGTGAGAGAGGGTTTGGGAGGCTTTCTACTTTAGCATTTGGCCAGGAAGTCGGTCGCACCCTTTCGCCGAGGTGAAAAGAAGCAGTGGTGACCCGAACGAAGCGCAGATTCACATGCAGATTCCGCCAAAGCGCCCCGGGAGGGCTTGGGGAGTTGCGGCATGTCTCCAGGGGCGGGGGGGCTGGACTCTGGACCCGCCAGGTTCATCGGTGCCATCCTGGGGAAGGAAGGCGCACAAATTAAGCTGAGGCCTTAGGCTCGAGCTTGCCCCGGCTGCCTTCCATTGGCTCTTGCAATGCTTAGCATCTATGCGCATGGCCTGCTCAATTGAGGCAGGTTTTGGCCGAGTCAGGGTGCGCTTCGGTCTCTGCTGGGTGACTCAGATCACGTATGGTGTCCTTCCATGCTTTGCTTCCTATTTGTGATGCAAGTTTGGTGATGACGTCTTGGTTGAGCCTGCGGGCAAATGCATTGGGTGAGAATTTGCAGGAGAGAGCACATGGCCTCAAGTTGTGTGCGATGGCGGATGCGAAGGACTCGCGCAACTGTGGCTCAGGTTTATGCACTCAGTCCCAGATCTCCCGCCATGAAGAAGGGCCGCGCAGCAAAGCAATGCAAAATGCGCATGGCGCAGGGTTGCCAGGTGGCCACATTGCTCAACTGCGCAGACAACAGTGGCGCCAAGAACCTGTACATCATTGCGGTGATCGGCATCGGCGGCCGCTTGAACAAGTTGCCGAACTGCTCCCCTGGTGACCTGGTGCTGTGCAGTGTGAAGAAGGGCAAGCCGGAGCTGCGCAAGAAGGTGCTGAAGGCGAGACATTTGGGTCTATCTCTGATTCACTCGGGCAGCTTGGTTTAAACAAACGCACGGGGTCTAGGTAAAAAAAGAGAAGCAAACAACAAAGTCACTGCATCGCGTTTTCTCAAACGCGTCCAGGGCGTGGTGATCCGCCAGAAGAAGGCCTGGCGCCGCCGCGAGGGCGTTTTCGTCTACTTCGAGGACAATGCAGGGGTGATCGTCAACGACAAGGGCGAGATGAAGGGCTCGGCCATCCAGGTGCTTATCCCTGGCCAGAAACAGGTTCCAACACATTTGGCCAGAAGGGAGGTAAGGGAGGCAAGGGAGGCAAGGGAGGTAAGGGAGGCAAGGGAGGTACGGGAGGAGATGAAGATTTGTTCGTTCTGGCCTTCGCCATAGCCCAAGGAAGCCGCCAGTTGTCGTGCCAAACCCTCGCAGGGCCCTGTGGCAAAAGAGTGCGCAGAGCTGTGGCCGAAGATCGCCTCCTGTGCTCCGGCCATTTGCTGAACTGACGCGATGGAGTAATCGGGACTGCGCGGAAAAGGGCGAGACGGGCGAGATGTCAGGGAAGTCCAGCAGTTCCTCCAGCATGAAATCCGAGTGTTGAAGCCATCGATCCAGTTTCTTGGACACTGTGCATCACTCCGAATGCATGTGCGTGTGCTGCCAAGGTCACCAAGCGGGAGGCCATGGGCAACGAAAGACGGGTTGTGATTTTAGGAGGCGGGGCAGACAGACCTCACCACTTTGCAAGGCCAACACGTATGAGAGAGATATTCAGGCTTCGGATTTGGGCGGCCCTTCTGCGCAGGCATTGAAGAGTGCATTAAAGCACAGCAAGCAGCCGGCTGCTCGGGGCACTGCTAGCCTGTCGAGCGAGCAGGATCAATTCTGGCATTGGCTAGCAGCTCTAGCTACGTCTAACGAAGCAGCATGCGTGATTTGCTTTCGGTCAGACAATCTACCAGTGTCTGGCCACCCTGGAAGGGACATGGGGAACTCATTTTCTTTTCCGGAAGGCACAACAAATAGACAAGAACATTCGCTAATTTTCCCATGCCCTTTCGGGAACCGCATATTGTCACCATGGCGCAAATGGATATAAGACGGCGCCAGCATGCATAAGTACTATGAAGATCGCCAAGAAGAAACACAAGGGGATGGAAGGGCCGCGTTTACTGCTAGGAGCCTAGCAGGCCTCATATACGCTTTGAGATCACTGAGCCCCCCCCACCGCCGCTTGACTCCATGGTTGAGGTGCACCAGATCTACACGGCAGCTGCCGCTCAGGCAGGTGAGGAGGCACGTATCCATTTGGAGAAGGGGCAGCTTGGTGCAGCTAAAGGGCGACGGCCTGCGATCAATGTTGTGCCCCATTGGAGGCGTCAAGCTGCACGGTTTATTTGATGGCCAGCGCCTGAGACGGAGCCATCCATGAGCAAAGCCGATTCAGATGCTTGGTCTCTGCCCGGCAAGCGCGCGCAGAGTGGGAAGAAGGTTGAGAGTCAGGTGCCAGCAAGCTCCGCTGGCGCGGTCATTGGAAAGGAGGACGGTTCGCGAAATTGCGCTTGAGCAAAGCAGCTTGCCGGAGAGAAGCTGCTGGTATTAAACTGATTCTGCATGTTTTTTAACGCTTTCACTTCGAATCTGTCGACTCTTCTCTGGCACTGCTTGATGGCGCCCTTGCCTTGCAGGGGGCCAACCTCAAGCAGATCCGTGAGCAGCCCTTCCCTTACACGGCTTGAAGCGTGCATGCCAATCACCGCACGGCGCTTTTGGGGTGGGTGCGGGAAGGGTACGGCGTTGGGTGTTCCCGTAAGGCTGGGCCTGCGGGTCACCTTATCCAGAGAGCCTGTGGAAGGCCCGCTGCGAAGCCGGTCCTTTGATTCGGCAAGGGCCCCTTTCTCGTATTCATTTGGGCATCTGGTCACCGGGGCCTGGCCAGGCTGATTGTTGCCTTGCCTACTGAAGCCATGTAAGAACCAACATGCTTTGCAATATAGCCCCCGGTATCAAGCCTAGAAAGGTTGTTGCTCTCTCGCCAGAAGCCGCATGCTGACGCTAGGCTCAACGCTAGGCCCTATGATGGAGACAGCTCGCACAAGTGTCCAGAAACTGTTCATGCATTTGGGACTCGACTTTAACAAATCGCCCAGAGGCACCTGCAGGCAGGCATAGAAAGCAATTTTCGTGCACTGTTTGCTGGTGAATGTTTGGCGCCTGAGCCTTGTGGATTTCTTTGTGAACATGGAGCGATATTGGATACGGCCTCGAGTGTCGCATGTCGCAGAAAGCTTCGGCAGGCTTTCGTCCATGCATGCTCACCGGAGCGTGGAGCTCTCAGCGAGGATTTCCTGGCGGCCAAGTTGGGATCCGGGGGCACCCAAGGTCCATGGAGAACATCCTGACAGCCGAGAGGCAAATTCAGGATCAGGCGGGCGAGTTCAGGAAGTTACCGCAAAACGACCGCCAGCCTCACATGACATGACTATTGAGAGTCACTTGCAGCGGGCTTTGCGAAGCTTGTGATTCTCTCGCCCTCATGCCAGATCGTTTCGGACCCGGGCCACAGCAACGGCAACAAGAGATCGTTTGATGCAATGGCCATTGGCCCAGAAGAAGAAGTCATGGCTGGCTGCAGCTCTTTTTTGTTGGCTGTGAAGGCTCTCCGCTCATGAAGCTCATAGCAGTTCCCCGTCTCATTTGTGGAAAATGTTTGGTTGCCCCGAGGCTGGACAATCCTATAGCAACGCCTACGCAAGCGGCTTGGATGCCGGTGGCTACGATGGCCACGATTCAGGTTATGCCAATGCTAGCTACAACGCAGCTGCCCCGCCCGCTGCTTACGACCCGCCGCCTGCGCCTGAGGCGGGCAGGGGGGCGGGGGTGCTGTGTTGGTCATGGCTGTTACTGTGTAGAAATAATGTTGGCTCAAACAATGCTAGAGCATTTGGGCGCAGGCCAAGCGGATGAGACCGAGCGGGCCGGGAGATGTCATGACGAAGCTGTTAGTGTCTTGACCTCAGCCGAACATGAAATCCAGGACGATGACACAATGAGAAGCGAAGCAGCATGGCACATTGCACTTTTGCGAACTTTGCGTGTGTGTGTGTGTGTGTGTGTGTCGGCTCCCTACAAATTTGGAGGCAGCATACCGTTTTGTTTCCGTTGTATTCTCTCTCAGGCCTGCTGGTGCTGCTGGCGCCATCATTGGGAAGCAAGGCTCCATGCTAAAGCAGATTCGAGAAAGCCTTGGCCTGAGTCGGTGCCCACCAGCAGTCCGCTTGGCTACGCCTCTTGGTGTTCCTTTTTTTGGACTCCAAGGTTCCGGAGCGAGTCTTGAGGTGGTGCCGCAGGCAGGTGATCCAGACACTGGGAGGGGATGGGCTGCCTGTGGGGTTCGAACCTTCATGGCGTGCCAGCTTCTTTTTGGTGTGGGGTCCAAGGGAAATGTCCTGCAGAGCCTTTGTAGCCATTTTTTTTCTTAGTTTTCAGCATCTACGTGGCTGTTTGTTGTTTTCGTTTTTGGAAGCTGCCGCGGGGTCGAGTTTGCGAGCAACACGTTCAAGGTTTGAAGCCAACAGTGACATGAAATGTTGGCTTTGGAAGGTTTGGGCTGGCTGGCGCCTGGAATGTGACTTCAGAAGCTTGCAGGTTCCCAGTTGGGCGGAAGGTTTTGAAAGCGCGGAAGGGGGTTCAAATGTGTTTTTCTTTGTTGAGGCCATGGGCTCAGTGTGATCGCGCCAGCACAACACAATCGAAGACCAACTATTGGGTTTCGATTGGGCAGTAGGCTCTATCTCTCGGTGTGCTGAGGGACTATGGTTTTCTAGCGGGCTGGCTTTTGTTTTTCACGGTCGCAATCGCGCAGCGTGCGAAGTGGATCGGAGGTTTGACGCCTGTCCTCAGGGTGAGCCTGCAGATCTGACACATTTTTGCCCGCAAAGTCCTCCCACAAAGTCCGCCCGTAAAGCCAGCCCGTCAACTCCGTCACTAAACTCCGCCCCTTGTGAAAGGAAAACAGAGTGCCACGATGAGTGTTTCTTCCTTTAAACCTTGGGCTGGTGCTGGGTGCTGGAAAGGCCACCTCCTCTTAGAATTTAAGGGTGGGGGCTTAAGGGCAAACTTATGCAATCGCCGAGGGAAAATCATTGTAACTTGTGGCTTTGACAGAAGAATTGCTCAGCAGCCTAGATTGCACTTCAGTTCGAACTGATTGTTTGTCGGGTTCCTGTGCCACAATTGAAGTCTGGGCTCGCAGTCAGAAAGGCAATTTCCAGAAGTTGTCCTACAAAATGTCATAAAAATACCGGCACGAGCTCGCCCTGCATCCCCTGGACAGGCTCAGACGCCCCAATTCCTGACGGAGCGCCAGGGGCATAGAAGGGAGTCCGTGCTGATTTTGCAAACGGCCAAGGGGCCTGCAGTATGCATCTTGGTTTGTTGTTTTGCTCCAACAGAAGAAAGAGGAAGCCGCGACCTTTTCTGCGTTGGGAGATTTTTTTCTCATGCACATTCACCGGAAGCCGTTTCCAAGGCGTCGTTTACATCAAGGGTAGCCGCGAGTGCCGACAAGACGGCATGCAGAAGGCCATGCTGGGCACAGTAGCCGCTGTAGCAATGCCTTGCAGCTGACCCTCCCACGCAGGTCCTGATGGCAGCCTTTGAGAAAGACCAGATGGTGCGGGCCCCTGTGCATGTGGAGGGATGGGCGGTTTTATGAGTTTTACAATTATTCTGTACCATGCATACCTTGCATGTTGCCTGCCTTGCAAATACGTTGCCTTTGCAAACACGTTGGCACACTGCACGTTGTGTGTGCACATCTCTTAAATGCATTAGCTGTTAGCTGTTGCGAGCACAATACACTTCGGCTATGGCCTGGTCACCCATTTTAGCCTGTCATACCCAGAACGCACACACACACACACACACACAAGTTTGCGCGCGCACAGCACACACACACACATACACACGCTCGCAGTAAGGAAATCCGTTGTATCAGTTGTGCATTATGTAACATAAGAGCAGACGTGTTTGCACCCATGCCATCTCCGATGGCTCAAGACGCATCTCGCCTACGGAAAATGGGCGTGACCTCTTTCTTGGTTTTTGGTCTCCCCTTTGTCTTTTCGTGGTGCGTTTCTGGAAACCCTTGGGTCCCAAACTAGGTTGTGGCCCTTAGTGGGTTTCTTCATGGTAGCGGAGCCGCTAAAGGCGGCTGTAGGTTTAGGTCATTGCCATGGCTCTTGACTTTGAAGGGATCTTCAAGAGATCTCGATCAGCAAGCCAACCGCCGAGTTGGCCAGCACCGCCACAAGGTGGCACGCCTGTGAGCCCCGTGTGGGCAGAGCTGAAAAACATCAGCTCAGCTGCATCAGTTGCAGCAGATCCGACCGGATCGCAAGGGCCTCCGGGCCAAGCAGAGCCTCCAGGGCTCAGTGGGCTTTCGAGCCAAGCAGAGCCACCAGGGCTCAGTGTTCGAGCCAAGCAGAGCCGCCAGGGCTCAGTGGGCTTTCGGCCAGGGCTCAGTGGGCTTTCGGGCCAAGCAGAGCCTTCAGGGCTCAGTGGATCTCAGGATCATGGGCAGCCAGCGGGCCCGGCATCAATGCCGCAGCAAGGTAGGACCTTGTTCGGAGGGCCGATAGGCCATGGGCAGCCAGCGAGCCCGGCACCAATGCAACAGCAAGGTGGGACCTTGTTCAGTGGGCAGCCAGCGAGCCCGGCACCAATGCATCAGCAAGGTGGGACCTTGTTCAGTGGGCAGCCAGCGGGCCCGGCACCGATGCAACAGCAAGGTGGGACCTTGTTCAATGGGCAGCCAACGAGCCCGGCACCAGCGCAACAGCAAGGTGGGACCTTGTTCAGTGGGCAGCCAGCGAGCCCGGCACCAGCGCATCAACAAGGTGGAACCTTGTTCGGTGGGCCATCAGTGGGCCCAGCTGCACCAATCACGCCAGGACAATCCGTGTTTTTCGCAGTGCAATCACCGCCTCGTGAACGCACGACCACAGGGATCCAGTTCTCAGATCCTCATAGCTATACAGCGGGTCCACCCTTTTCCCAACCATTTCCATCGCCGAATGCAAATGCAAGTGCAAGTGCTAGTAGTGCAGCCCAGCCACCAGTGCATAACATCGCGCAACCGCAGAACGATGGGTCGACATCCACTGAGCTGCGAACGGATGTCGGCCAGCCTGATCTAGCCGCCGTGATGTTGGGCATGTCAAACATGATGCAGCTCCAATCACAGCAGATCACCCAGCTACATCAGCAGATGCAACAGTTGCAAATGCAACTAGCCGCCCGACCAGGGGTCGCTCAGCCTGTGCCACCTCCGCCACCGGCTATTCCACAGGTGCCACAGTGGGCACCAACTGGCCAGTTTGGCCAGCAATGGAATGCACCACCTGTCAATCAACAGACCGCGACAGGTGGCCAGTTTGGTGGTGATCAGACCATCCGCCTCGACACTAAGATGCTCCCAAGTTTGCCTCAGCCAGATTTCAAGCAATGGACCGATAGGCCCAGTGAGATTCTTGGCATGTATAAATTCATGGAATCATTTGTGTCTTGGTTGAGCATGACTGATACTCGGTACCATGACGAGCTGCATGAAGCACTAAATCGCCAGGTGCCCATCTCGCATGCCCAGATGGATCAGTACCAGGTGAGCCGTTCGCAACGGTTGTATTTCATTCTGAAGCAGCTGTTTGCTGACTCATCACGGGTCATGAGCATCATCAGGCTCCAGGAAATCCAGGTCACCGATAGCAATTGTGGATATGAATTGCTTAGAAAAATTCGGTATGAATTTTGCCTGCAGAGCCGAACCGAAGCTTTGTTCTTCCGGAAACGGTGCCTGGATTACCGCGTGCCTCCTAACACGCCTGTGAGAGAGATCGGCCGCCTGTGTGATTCCGAGTTGGCAAGGTATCAAATGATCCTTGCCACAGCAGCAGACCCAACCAGATTGACCGACCTGGTCATATCCGAAGCAGATCGCTATCACTGGTTGTTGCAAAGTGTTCCGACGGAGGTCCGTAGGTGGGTTCAGCTCCATGCTCATCAGGAGAACTACAACACCACCAAGGACTACCTTCAGTACTACTACAGCCGGACCATTCTGTCGGAGGATCTCGAACGCACATCCCGCAGTCGCCCTCTTCAACCCTTTGGAATTGATCATTGGGGTAATGAAGAAACTTTTGCATGGGATGATCAGCAAGATCCTAATTTTGCCGATGCAGCAACCGCCAGTGACAACTGTTTCCGGTGTGGAAAGTGTGGGCATTACTCCCGTGATTGCCCGCAATCTCCACAATCAGGTTCTGGGAAGGGCAAATCCAATGCCTCTCGGGACTCGCCTACCAATCAGCATGGCAAAGGTGGTAAATCCAAATCTAAGCCAGCCGATAAAGGTAAGGGTTCCAAGCCACATGACTCTAAGGGTAAGCATAAAGGCAACCCTAAGGGTAAAGGCAAAGGTAAGGGTAAGCCCAAAGGCAAACGCGCCGCAGAGCTCGCCGGTGACAGTGAGGATCCCAATGATCCTTGGCTCCAGCCTCAAGATGAGGGCGATTGGCCCCAATCCGACTGGGATTCTTGGAGCTCATGGCAAGGTGATGATCATCAACTTGAGTATCCGGATCAACCCCACGATGACACCTGGAGTGAGATCAGTGGAGACGGCAATGCCGCTAGGTCGCTGTCCCACATGCTGAAGGCACCACTTGCCTCATGTCAGATCACCGAGCAGGATCACGAGTGGTGGCTTCTGGATTCAGGAGCATCAAGGTCGGTTGTCGATGAGCGAACCCTCGACAAGCATAAAATCATCCGGCAACGCACCTTGACTGAGCCACTCACGTTCAGTACGGCCTCAGGTGAAACGGTGAAGATCGACAAGGAAGTCGTGCTTGCGTGCAAATTTCAGTGCATCCTGGATGGCAAGCCAAGCATCCAGAAGTTCAGCATTCGTGCACTAGTGGCCCCTGTGCAAAACAACTTGCTCAGTGCGATGCAGATTTGCCACCGTGGCTGGTCAATCAAGTTTATAAACCAGCAAGTGGTGATCACTTCTGATCACGGCAGTCAGATCGAGTGCCAAGTGTGGGCAAACTGCCCATGGCTTCGTCAGGTGCCACCACGTAGGAGCACGGCCTCCAATGTGAAGAAGATCAAGGAGGTGTCATTCGAACCGACACCGATGGACATCGACAGGTTGTCACCGACCATCATGAATCGCATGACTTGTCAGCATTTGCATCCGAGTGTGCTCAGGGTCGATGAGGCATCACCTGCATTTGCACATGCGCAAGCCGCTAAGATTGAAAGTGATCTTGCGCCGAATCATATGCCAACCACCGAAGCTTTGTCTTGTGTAACTCAACCGCACCTTGGTGTAAACCTGTCAGTGTGTGTTGAAGCCAAGCCTGAGCAGGATAATCCACCGGATCTTCTCCTTCAACCCCTTGATGAACAGCAGGAAGATCATCCTCTGCCTGAGCTTGATGTTGAAATGCCGGATGAAGATCCGAGACCGGTAAATCGCATTGCAGCCCGTGAAGAGAAGGAACTCTTCCAGCATCGCGTCCGTGGGCATGCTGACTTTGATCCCAGGTGTCAGCACTGCGCCACTGCACGGGGTATCACTCAGCACCGCCGTAGGAGCACCGATGGTTCCAACATTGAGGTCATGGTAGATTTCTGTTACCTTCATGTGCCAGGTGGAGGTACTCGAGAGATCCTCGTGTTGTATGAACGTGCATCAGGCCTTGTTGGTTTCATTGCCATGCAAGACAATCGTGAATCAGTGAAAGCCGAAGTGAAGCGCTGGTTCGAACTTGCAGGACTATCAGGACCATCATCTGCCACTGTGATTGTTCGCACCGATGCCCAGCAATCACTGGCAGTCCTGATGAAATCCTCAGTGGCCTGTCAAGTGCAATCTGCCGCTCCACAGCATCATGAACTGGTTGGAGGAGCCGAGAGAAGTGTCCGTAGCCTCAAGGAGCAACTAAGTACTTTGCGTAGTGACTTGCAAGCTCAAGGCTGGGACATTCGGTTCGATCCGCAAGTTCTTTGGTATGTGTGTCGATATGTGGCTTTCGTTCTAAATTTCTACCGGTGTGTTCATGGGTCTGATAAGACACCTGTTGATATCATCGTAGGACAGAAACGCAAGCCACCAGCCATCACGATGTTCGGTGCCACAGTGTTTGCAGAAGTACCGGAATCCGTCGAAGCACCAGCAGGAACCAGGTTTGTCCCTGCTGCATTCCTCGGACCGCCTTTGTATTCTCGTGGCATCCTTGTGTGTGCTGTAGTTGGGCCCGTGCATGACACCCAAGCCAAGGTGTTCATGGCAAAATCTGTGAAAGTCTTGAATAAGATCACCTTTGATAGTCCTATGTGTAGTGACTACTTGGTAAAAGTTGCACAGATGCAGCCGCATCCACAACCGGCGCAGCATCCACCAATGCCACCAGATCCAGCCGATCCTCCGCCTGAGCCACCCAAGATTGGTAAAGGACCGCCAGCGGATTGGTTGCGTAGGCATGGCCGTACCGCAGGTTGTAATGGTTGTGCCAGGGATTACCTTGGAGGACGGCAGCGTTCAGCTGCGTGTCGTAAGAGGTATCAGGATTGGTATGATGCACAGCAAAGGCCAGCAGGTGT